ATGAGGCCTAGTAAGAGTGTCAAGTGTTAATGGCACCTAATGGCTAGAGCCCAGCACATCTGTATGCAGATTCCTAGGACCCCAGCTTGGGAAAACAAAAGACAACCCACCCTCATACTAAACAGTTCAAGCCATTTAGAGACAACAGCAGGAAGGTCGAGACCAGGACTGAAGTTACAGAACACCCACATCAGAATAAACCAGGAGACATGAAGATGGCCTGACATTCCTTGCCTCTTGTCCTACATGTCATCACAAGAAATCTTACCAGTTTAGACATGCAGAACTTGGTGCTTTTGAGTATGTGGCTATAAATCCAGTGAGTGAAACTGGCTCAGTTTTAATGAAAATTACCTTCTCCCATGGCACCCACACAGAGCATTATGCTGCTGTTGGGGACTGCTGTCTGCCATGGTGGGTTAACAAGGTGCCCTGGGTTTCACCAAGAGGAACAGCTTGAAATAGGAGACTCCTGATGCCGTGGAAACGCCAACCATGAAACCAGCAGAGTTATGGAAGCAGCATGTTTTCAGGCTCCCTTTTTACTTTTCCAGATTATGCAGCTAGTTTCTGACATCCCTAATACATCAAACAAGTGCTTAAACAATAATTCAATGATGCATTGAAATGTCAGATAATTATTGCTACCCAAATACCTGGGCATATGGATCATACAATAACAAATGTAGATACTACATTACCCAGTTTAATTATGCAATATTTAGGAGCACTCAAGTTCATCTACATGGCACACTAATCAACTCATAATTTAACTGTAAGACTCATCTTTCTCCTGGTCAAAAATACCTTCCTTTTATGCTCTCTGGCAGTAAAACGGTAAAGCCCCAATTCAGATCCTTCCCTTTCATCAATGTGGGGGATGTCTGACAGCTTCTTCTTTGCAATTACAAGGTTTTGCTGCTGTTCAAAGTGACAGATCTGATTTTACAGAATAAAAGAACCTTAACTAGTTCCTGGGAATCAGGAACATTAAAGACATTTTGACAGTAAGTAGCTAAAACCAAAATGTGGCTGTAGATGCAACTAAAAGCCACAATATGGCTTGACAATAAGGCTGCTGAAATCTGACATGAGGGGAATGATTCAGGCTACCCAGCACACCAAGTGCAGCAGCATAAACCTACTTTTCTCAATAGACCATACTTCTGTCTGTCTCCTACCACAAAAAAAAATAACCAAACCCACATATTATGACAAAACAGCAATCCTCCTGTTCAGAGTGACAATGAGTGATAGAATTAAACACCTCACTAGGTTTTGATGGCAGCTACACAGCCCTCCGCAGACCCAAATTCAGCCCCGTTGTCAACACACATCGCCACTGAAGACAACGGATTTCAAGAGCTCGAAGTTATTCTATAAACAGCAGGTGCTGAACCTTCACTGCCAACCGGAAAAGGTTGTCTCTCTCCTGTATATGCAGAGAGGAGCATGGATAATGCACTCTCATACAGGGCAAATACACATCACTAGGATCACTACAAATACAGCTAGGTCTGACATCCTTGGCCCATGGCAAACTGGACTTAGAACTTCAGTGATGCATGCTGGTTACCTGGAGAGGGCTTGGCCTCCTGGCCAGTAAATAGCCCAGAACGGGTCCCCATAAGGCCACAGGTCAGGTTTCTCCTTCCAGAACTTGCAGCGAGGTGTGAGGAGGCGCAGTCGTATCTCTGGTGTGAGGTGCCCACTGCTGGTGACCTCTGTGTTCTCCTCCAAAAATGCTCTAACCTCAGGGTCCAGAGACTTGCCGGTGCTCCAATGGCTGCAGTGCTTCCAGCACAGAGAGGGGCCTCCTCCCCTCCTGCTCCTCCAAGCCTTGGCAAAGGTGTCCTGCCTGCCCAAGAGGAGGAGCCGCTTCCAGCTGCGGAAGGCCATGTCTCCCCAGGAGAGCTCAGAGCACAACTTATCTGAAGCAGGTGATGAGGCAGAAAGCTTGAAACAAACTCACAGGATGTTGTTTTTCATAGCAATGAATGGCAATTCCTAAAAGGAGAACAATGTCAGTGGTGTTTCTTCAGTGACTTCAAGGCTACGCACCACCAGGGTTTTAGGAGAAGGAGGTGCATGTGCTGTGGTGTGACCATGAATGCGCGCCTTGCTCCTGCCCAAAGAGCCTTTGGAACCTGAAAGAAGTGGTATTTAAGGAAGAAGCTACCAATCCACCAATTCAGGAGAGTGCTATAAACATACCCAGTGAGAAACAACCAGTCAGCAAGAGATCGAGCTAAAAATTAAACTTGCAGCCTTTTAATATTTCCCTCCCTCTGCCCTGAAGATACACACACAGCAACCTACTCCCATTTAAGGTCCTTCCACTGAATCTTAAGATTCAGGGCTCTGGCATTGCAGGGCCTATGGACATAGCAGATGCCATTGATTAGAAGTTCTATAATGATGACAAGTCTTTTAAACGAAAACATCTTTTCATAGGCAAGCAATCAAAGGATTTCCTCAACAAACTTTTCTCTCTGACTTGGCAGGCTGCCAGCTCCAAAATGAAAAAGGAAAATAAATAAACAAATACAACAACCCCAAGAACTGATCCTCATCAGAATACTCCTGACTTGTTGCATTTCAGTCTGTATTTTAAAGGCTCGGTTAGCCTTATGGAGCAATAGCCACATGTGGATGTTCTCCGCTGTAGAAGAAAGGAGAACTTCAATCACCGTAGCCCACTAACTGTGGGAAACTATATAAACATGCTCTAAGCTGTCTAAAGAGAGACAAGATGAATCCAACATGTTTTTAAAATAAGTTTTTAAAAGGTGAGACAGACTGGATGAGCTCACACTCAAAGGCCTCCTGACACCACTCAAGGCCAGTCTTCAGGCCACAAGCAGTGAAGAAACGGAGAATGCAGGACTTGGTATGTCAGAGTTTAGACTAATTTAAGAATCTGGAGAATGGAGCAGGAAGAGCCGCAGCTCTTGGCTGAGTGTCAGATGAAGAGCCTCTCAGCACTTCATTACCCACCACCACCCTGGTTCTTTCTTACACTGATCCTGTGATTGTTCCTACCAAGGGGTGGCCTGAAGAGAGAGCAGCTGTTTTCCTGCCTTCCTGCTCACACCTCCTTCTTCATCCATCCTTCAATATTTACATATCTTTTTTCCTTCCTCATCTTGCTCTCCAATTTCTTTTCAGTCACCAGACTTAGTTGCTACAGGGTACAGTTTTTGAATCTCCCCCTAAAGTGATGACCAGAGAAGTGTTTGAGGCTGTGCTTCCACAGCAGCAAGACTGTAAGTACAAAGACACAAGAGAAACTGCACTTGGTGGTTTGTGATTATTTTCTCTCTCTTCTGCAGTGGTATCCATGGAAAAACAGAATGATGCATCAAGAAAATCAACTCCAGAATGCCCCTGCTCATTTTTCACAACTGTGTCCAGCTTCACCATCTAGAACTGTGCAGGTTGTCCTTAGAAATGAGGCAAAGGGACAACAGAAAAAATACACTAATAAAACAAAGTCTTAACATTTCACGTTTCATTGTTTCAGTTGTTCTTTGTCTGTATCTTTAGTAAAAGTTTGTATGTGTTTAGCGGCATTTGTGCTGGGCACTGGCCTCTGGTTTAGGTACTGGGTTTAGCTTGATTGCTTATTGGAATGTTAAGCCATGAACTTCCCTCCTGTTACACTTTGCTATTTAGGCTGATAGTCCAGTTAAGTCTTTGCTTCAATCATTGGCTAAAGGCTTTATGTTTTTATTACAAATAAATACATGTGACTGAACACTGTGGTTTTCTACAATGCAGAATGCCATTCCAGAGAGTCCATGTAATCAATGGACATAATTATTGTCTTCCTTCTTGAAGGCAGAGCTATATAATCCTCACCTGCCTGAGGGAAGCATGAAGTTAACTGAAACCAATCAGAGACATGAATCTTGTCAGCTAATGCTGTACGATTCCCCCATGAATTGCTACACGGTAGTAGAGCTGACATTCAGTAGCACACTGCACTGCCTGTCACAGTGGTTACTCTTTTAAATGAGTTCATAGTATATCACAGAATGATTTGGGTTGGAAGGGACCTTAAAACTCTTCCAGTTCCAACTCCTGCCACAGTTCACTAGACCGGGTTGCTCCAAGCCCTGCTGTCCAACCTGGCCTTGAACACTGCCAGGGATGGGGCAGCCACAGCTTCTCTGGGCACCCTGTGTCAGTGCCTCACCACCCTCACAGTGAGGAATTTCTTCCTAATGTCTAATCTAAATCTACCCTTTTCAGTAGAGGTAGAAAAATATCTGCTAAGAGCTGTGCTCAAAATGCCAAACCGAGCTTAAGTATTTAGTGTAGGAAGGTGTCAGGACAGATATTCCTTCATTTGACAGTCATGGCCTTCCCATCTTACCAGAAATAAAACCAGGGTGTGAGTAGAAATCAGACAAAACAGATCAAAAAAAAAAAAAAACAAAAAAACAAAAAAATTTATTAGAAATGTTGCTAGGGCATATACAATTTTTGTTATATCACCAGATGGGCCATTCCAACTTAAGCCAGAACAGCAAACACTTCTCCAAACATCAGCACAAACAAACAAACCCACACCAAAAAACAAACAAAACCAACCAAAACCAAAAACACCCCCACAAAACCACACCACAAACAAAAAAACCCCAAACCCACGAAAACTTAACCAAACGCAACCAACCCCAGTCCTGTGCAGTTTAAGCTTGGAGCTTTCTTCCTTTCGCCCAAGCGGCAGCAGGTGCCTTTCACACCATCACCACCCCTGCCCCACGTTTCCCACCGGACAAAACCAGACCGAACCGAGCCC